CAGACATGGTGCATGAAAATACGTTGCTAAGACCAATGTCGGAGAATTTACTGCCTATGTTTTCTTCTAGAAGTTTCATAGTTTCAGGTCTTACATTCAAGTCTTTAATCCATTTTGAGTTCATTATTGTGTGTGGTGTAAGGCAATGGTCTACTTTCATTCTTTTGCATGTGGCTATCCAGTTTTCCCAACACAATTTGTTGAAGAGACTTTCCTTTGCCCATTGTATGTTCTTGGCTCCTTTGTCGAAGATTAGCTGTCCATAGATGTGTGGGTTTATTTCTGGGCTTTCGATTCTATTCCATTGATCTGTGTGTCTGTTTTTGTGCCAGTACCATGCTGTTTTAGTTACTTAGCTTTGTAGTATATTTTGAAATCAGGGAGTGTGATATCTCCAGCTTTCTTCTTTTTTCTCAGGATTCCTTTAGCTATTCTGCTGGTCCATATAAATTTTAGGATTCTTTGTTCTATTTCTGTGAAAAATGTTGTTGGAACTTTGATAGGGGTTGCATTGAATCTATACATTGCTTTAGGAAGTGTGGACATCTTAACCATGTTAATTCTTCCAATCCAAGAGCACGGAATATCTTTCCATTTCTTTGTCTCCTCTTCAATTTATTTCAGCAATGTTTTATAGTTTTCCTTGTATAGATCTTTCACCTCTTTGGTTAAGTTTATTCCTAGGTATTTTATTTTTTTTGTGGCAATTGTAAATGGGATTGTATTCTTAATTTCTCTTTCTGCTACTTCATTGTTAGTGTGTAGAAATGCAACTGATTTTTGTATGTTGATTTTGTATCCTGCAACTTTACCGTATTCGTTTATCACTTCTAAAAGTGTTTTGGTGGATTCTTTAGGGTTTTCTATATGTAAAATCATGTCATCTGCAAATAGTGACAGTTTCACTTCTTCCTTTCCAATTTGGATCCCTTTTATTTCTTTTTCTTGCCTGATTGCTCTGGCTAGGACTTCCAATACTATGTTAAATAGGAGTAGGAGAGTGGGCATCCCTGTCTAGTTCCTCTTCTTAGAGCGATAGCTTTCAGTTTTTCACCATTGAGGATGATATTAGCTGTGGGTTTGTCATATTATGGCCTTTATTATGTTGAGGTACTTTCCTTCTATACCCATTTTTTTCAGTAGATCAAATACTTTAAAACTTGACTTTAATCATTCAAAGGATATTTTTAAATGCCTTCTATGTGGTCATCACTATAAAATGTTGGACTGAGTATGAAGTCTAAGATAGATGCCTGACCTGTCCCCAAATAGTATAACAACTAGCCAAAGGGACAGAACAGTTGTAAATTTAGCAACCTGAAAACTACTTTAGTATTAACCAATTGATGAGGTCAATAGGCAAAATAGACATTCAGAGGCGTAGGCTCCTGGCTGGAAAGTTGGCCTAGATGGAGAAGGTTCCATGCAGTATAAAGGATTCATTGAGCTTGAAGGATACATAAGATCTTTATGGGCAAAGAAAGGAGAGAAGGGGACCTCCAGGCATAAAGAACAGCAAGAAAGAAGTCGTGATCTTGGGAATGAACAAGGTGTGTGCATTTTGGCCTAAGTAAACACATCTGATAACAAAGTCGGATGGAGAGAAAGGCAAAGAAGATGTCTTCTTAAACAGTAGAGAAAAGGAATACTAGAGCCTTTAACAAAATACAGACAATTAGGGCCAGCGCCAGCCCCTGGGAAACTGGGAATCCAATGTAGAAATGCAGACCAGATGTGAAGGTGAGGGGGCCAGCTCTTTCCATGGAAGGTGCCTGGTCTAGGGACCTCCCCTCTCCTTCTCCAACAGGCTCTGAGAGGGGTTACTCCACCCCTCAGAGGAGAAGAAACCTAAAGCTTTCTGGAATGGAGACACTGGGAGTGGTATGAAGGTATTGCCTCCCAGTTGCAATTTGGCAAATGAACCAGAATTTCCATTACTCCTGGTAAGTCTGCCCAGGCTCACTGCTTCCTGACACTCACCAGAGCCTCAGCAGGACCCAGAGTCACATTTCTGGGTTCCTAGTACCTAACTACAAAGCACAGATTTAGTGGTAAGGGAGCTTTCGATCACTGCTGTGCTCCTGAGGATCTGAAGCACTAGAGTATTCGGACATGTGCTTCTGCGGTTAGTTTTGAATTAAAATGAAAGGTTAGGATCTAGAACAGCTGAAGTTCTACATTGAAAAATTGATCCAGTCTTGCTAAGGCTACCTCCTGAGACATCATCAGGGGTAGGGTGTGTTTATCTTGCTAAGGTGGAGCAGAATGTCTCTCCTCCCAGAGCTCTGGCAGATGGACCCCTAAAGACCTCCAAATTAAAAGTGATTCATTTTATGTTTTCAGACAAAAAATAGTTTACGGATCGGTACCCAGCTTTTCTGACCAAATAGTCTAATAAGCAGAAATTTTGCAAATCTGATGGTCACTAGCCCATTTATTTATTCAAAAATTTTTTCTTGAGCACCTACTATGTGGCAGATCCTACGGATAGAGCAGTAAACAGAGACAGGCCTTTGCTGTGACAAAGCTTATGTTGCAGGGAGCCAATATGAAGAGCTTGGTGCAGCTGTGCTCATATAGAGCATGTAAAGGACTTGAGACAGGAAATCCCAGCTCTCCAGATCATGGCAGCCCCTGAATATCATGCCAGGAAGTTCGGGCATTATCCTATAGGCAATAGGGAGTCCTGAATTGTTTTGAACAAAAAGTGACCCCATCAGCTCCATGTTTTAGACAAGTACTTTCGAAGATGAGCTCAAAGAAGAGACTGAGGTGGAGGTGGGGGGAGGGGGAGGGGGAGGGGGAGCAAGAGCAGAAATCAGAGGCAGGGAAGCTGAGCAGGAGAAACAACGGCAAAAATGCAGACAGGGAAGCCCAAAATGTATCAACTGGTAAAAATGAGACTTGAGAGAAGCTAAAAATCACCTCAAGTCTTCTGACTTCGTTTACTGCTATTTCATTTTGATCTCTCACTAGCAAAGTTGAGCAACAATTGGCCTGCCACTGGTAGTCACCCTCAGAGACTTAAAGATGGATTTTAAGTCTCACACTCAGCCCGCTCCCTTTCCTCGCATTCCATGGCATTGTTCTCTCTCGACCAACACTGTCCCATAGAACTTTCTGTGACAGTGGAAATGCTTTATTAATCTGCACTAATACAGTAGCCAACAGCTGCATGTGGCTATTGAGCTCTTAAAATAAAGTTCGAATTTTTAATTCAATTTTTTATTTTATTTAATTTTGGTTAGTTTTATTTTAAATAGCCATATGTAGCTAAAGACTATCATATTGGACAGCATGGTCTTGACCTTCTCCAGTCTGACACCCACTGGCTCTAGGACTTGAGTGAATGTTGAACCAGGACTCAAACTTGGGCAACTGGTCCCAACAGCAACCCCCTTTCCCCTCTAAGACCAAATTGCATCTGGTGGCACCTTATCCTCTGTCTTTTTCTTGAGGCCACATTCTCTCAGCACCTCCATACTCAGCCGTGTCCCCCTCCCCAGTCCCACACATGACTCCCACTGATGACTAACAAATCCATTGGGACATTTTGGTGGCCCTATTGGCTTCCCGTTTCTCCCCTCCCAGTAAAAGATTTATGCCATAGGGACTTAACCCACATGATCTCAGGATCTCCAGGTATGTGGAGATTGGAGGGGAGCAGGAAGAATCCTTCGGGGTCAGACCTTTGGATGTCCCTCCCATGTGACCATGGACCCACCCCTGCTCTGTTGTTCCAAGGGCAGCCCCACCCCACAGGCGACTCTGCCTTGACTCAGCATCCCAAGGCCATGCCAAGGGCTGATTTCCCCGGCTTCAGGTCCAGCTGAATGTCTGCATTGCCAAGGCCACCCTGGCTGGCTCAGCAAGTGGGGAGCATGGCTAGTCTGAGAAGCCTTGTATGCATGGTGAGGAGCTGCGGGAGCAGAGAACCACAGGGGCAGGAAGCTCTCGTCAGCCCTGCTGTAAACTCTCTGGGTGGCCCCAATGTGTTAATCCTCCCAGCAAACCTCTGCTTCCTCCTCAAAAGGCAGGAGGTCTGAATGAATAAACAATGAAAGTCACATTAAAAACACAAAATCCTACAGAAACAGTGAAGAGTGATTCTCAGCACTAAGGAAGAGCCTCCAGCAACTCCTGCTTCCTGAGGGTAGAGAGTAGAAACTGACTGTGTATCACTCAGTAGCACATTATCACGGCAATATCCTGGTAGTCACAATAGCTACAATTACTTACAATTGTTTGGTACTTTACAGTTTATAAAATATAATTTTATTTGAAGAAACTGCCATTTGTTTCTCACAATAGCCTGGTTAGGAAGGTGGACAAGGCAACATCTCCATTTTACAGATGAAATTCCTGAGACTTAAGGAGCTGGTGTGACTTGCTCAAGGCCATGTGTCTAGTAAACGGTAGAGCCAGGGCTTGGATGCAAGTGTTCTGATTTATAGTCCAAAACTTTTATCAATGAGAGAAATCTCCTGGTCATGTGACCTATTTTCTAAGGACAGCCAATCATAAACTTCCAATTCCTGTTAATTCTCAGCCTAAGTGGGGGAGACCACCCCAGATTCCAAAATGTACAGTTTGCTTGGTTGGGCCTCTTTTCCATGCTTGCTTTGTCCTGCCAAAGCTATGTTGTTGTTTACTAGGCCTGCTGAGGTTTTGAAGAAGTTCCTGTTAAGTAGAAGAATAAGCAATATCATTAAGGAGCCTTGCATTTCTGGTTTCCTTGAATGGCAGGCAGGGCCTGGCAGAGAGCATTCACTGAGAGCCTGGCCTCTTGGCCAGGACTTGTGGTTTGTGCCTGTCCCTGAGTCCCAGTCCATTGTGAGCAGCTGGTTTCTAGAATGTTCTTTCCCATCTAAAGCCTAAGAATGTGACTTGCCAGCCCCACAAAGCCCCGCTCTTCCCCATCACTGGCATCTGAACTCGGGCCTGGCTTGGGGCAAGATGGGAAATGAGCATCTCCTAACCCTGGTCCTCTTGGCCCACAGATATCAAGGACCCTAAACCTGCCGTGTACCAGCTGAAAAGCCCTAAATCCAGCAACACCTCCGTCTGCCTATTCACCGATTTTGCTTCTCAAGCTGGTGTGCCACAAGTCACAGGGCCTGAAGTGTTCAGCTCGAACAGCACTGCGCTGGACATGAGGGCCACGAATTCCAAGAGCAACGGCGCCCTGGCCTGGAGCAGCAGAATCGGCTTTCAGTGCAACGAGACCTTCAACGAGACATTCTACTCCAGCTCAGGTAAGTGCAGCCTTGGAGTCCCCTCACTTCCAGAGGCCCGGTTGCAGCCCTGGGCCCAAGTCAATAGTATCTAAAAGCTGCTCTGACTCTCAGCCTCATCAATTGCCAGCAAAGCCCCGTCTTGTTACTGATCACCAGTGACCCCTATCCTGGCAAGCCGCAGAATGTCCTAGGCAAAAAGTAGACGGGGCGAAGTGGCTGGAGAGGGCACGGGCCCTTGGTCTCCACTACTTCTGTTCCCCGCTCCCTGCCTCTCTCAGGCTGTTTGCCCCTTGCTGCTCTTCCGGGAACTGTTTTAATGCCCTTCTCCAAGATATCTCCCCTTGTCTCTCTCTCTCTCTCTCTCCCAAAGATCTTTCCCGGGTCCTAACTTTATGCAGTCATTCATTCATTCATTCAGCAACCACTGATTGTGCACGTCAGCATGCCAGGTGCTGGAATGGAGGAGTAAACAAGTCAGATGAGGGGTCTGCCCTTGAAGAAGCTCCATTCTACTCAGGGGAGATCATGCATCAGCAAGCGGAAATCTAGGGAACTTCAGACCGTAATATGTGCTCTCACTTGGAGTTGAAGAAACAGTCCCCTTAGGGACAAAAGTCAGGGAAGGGTTCTCTGGGGAAATGCTATGTGAGCTGAGATTTAAAGGATAAGAAGCTACCAGCCGTGCCAAGGGCAGAAAGAGGACCCTGTGGAGGCCTACACAGGAGCACAGTAGGGGAAGAACAGTAGGAAATGAGAGGGAAGAAGTAGCAAGAGCAGATCACAGGGACTCGTGGGTCATGAGAGGGCAGATACTATGCTAAGTGCAGTGAGAAGCTATTGATTGGCTTTAAGCAGGGGAACGACATCTAATTTACTTTTTTAAAAGATGTAACTGATGAGTGGAGAATGGATTGTAGGAGCCAAGAGAGGAAGCAGAAACGAAGCTCTTGCAGCAGAGAGAAGATGGAGGCCAGGCCGGGGTGGTGGCTGGGGAGTTGAGTGGCCAACACTATTTGAGATTCAAAGGTAGAACCATGCAGGGATGGAAAGGAAAAGAGGGGATCAAGAAAGGCAACTGGATTTTATGTCTGAGCAGCTGAGTCAATGATGGTGCCATTTACTGAGATGGAGGAAACAAAGGAACAAATTTGGGGTGCAGGGATCAAAACTTTGTGGAACACATGAAAGTACCCCAGGACCCTTATGGCGCTGTCACTGAGTGTGTGTTACCACCTCTATTGGACTCCAGACTGGAACCTGCCCCAGGGCAGGGTCTGTGTCTGATGGCTCCTTATGGCCTCGGGTCATATAACATGTACTTTGCACAACCAGTGTTTGTTACATGAATGAAATGGTGCATGGAAGCCAGGGTGTCAGTCCTGCCAGGGCCAGTGGTTCACCCCACCACGTGCCCTTATGTGACAAGTTCCCTCCAGATCTCTCCCCCAGGAAGCATGGAAAGGCTGTAGACATTCACCTACCCGAGTCCTAGGAGCTCTGGTGTGGGAAAGTCAGCATGCTCTGGACTCTAAGAAGATTTTTTTGTTTCTCCTTTTAGGCGTTGCCTGTAATGGCGAATTGATAGAGAAAAGCTTTGAAACAGGTAAGAGAGGGGTCTATCCCAGCTTGACACAGGTTTGGGGAGGTGAGGAACCCAAAATAACCCGGACAGGGTTGGGGAGGTGGGAAGGAATTTGTGGATCCAGGAATAAAGTTGTGAGGAACGGAACAGCAGTTGGAGCCCTGCTTGGAGCTGTCTGGGGTCATTCTTGAATCCCCAGGTTCCTCTCACTATCTCTAATTTTCTTTTCCATTCTGAATACTTAGAGAATGAGTCTCTGGTTTTGCTAGACCAATGACTTACCCCCAGGCCTCTGTATTCCTTTCAATTGCTCGACTGTCAGGAGAGCCAGAGAGAGCTTCTGGGTGGCCCAGCTGCGAAATTTCCATCTGGCTTATGTGTAGCCCTAAACTAACCAGGTCGTCCTGAGGACATGTTCCCTCCAGAGCCAGGGGGTTTGCCTTCTTTCAAGAAAAGCAGCAGAACTCAGGCAGTGATCTTGTCTCTCAAGGATCCCCACCACTCCTCACCACCTACTCTAGGCCCATACTCATTTCCATTTGAGCCATTTTCACTGAGTCATCCCTCTTGTGGTTCAGCCACCAGATTCTCACCAAGGGGCCCGGACCCCAGGGATTGCATGCGATAAGTTCGGAGCGCCCACACATCCCCATCCCCTGAGGGGCTCAGAAACAAAATAAGGACTAAGTGTAGTTGGGGTTTTCCTTTTGAATTGAAATACTGTTGACCCCAGAGGAATGTACAAATATGTTTATGAGGGGATGTGCACAGAAGCTCAAAGGGAGAGGCCATCCAGAAGATGAAGCCCACCCCCACTCGCCCCACCCTGCTTTTGGGAAAGCCATTGGTGTGTCATAGGGAACTGTGCAGACCCCGGGTGTGCATACCCATAACCACTGTGGCCCCTTGCTTTTGCAGATATACAGCTAAATTCTCAAAACCTGTCAGTGATTGTGTTCCGCATCCTCCTCCTGAAAGTGCTCGGGTTTAACCTGCTCATGACGCTGCGGCTATGGTCCAGTTGAGGTGAGCAGGCATCTCAGCCAGGAGCGGGGGTGAGGTTCTTGGGGTGGGTCCCCAAGCTCTGAAAGCAAACCTCCCCCCAGGGTCTTGCTTTAGGTCCTAAGCCTGGGCCCAGCAAACACCTCCTTTTTTTCCTGTTAGGAGTTCCCCTTGTTAATAACAATGGCCTGGAACATTTGTATAACACAATACACTCCTCGGATGACAATAGCCGCCTCAGTTGAGCCATGTCTCCCCTACGAAGTATGAAGAACAGTTGTTATTATCCTCATTTTGGAAATGAAGAAACAGGCCAAGTAACAACAAGGGCCACACAGTAATGAGTGTAGATGGAAAGACTCATTTATGCCTTCTGTTGATCCCTTTCACTGCAAAACCTAAAGGGCCCCCCAATTCCTTCCCTCATGTCCTCTGCCCCCATTAAGATGAGAAGATATTATACTCATATTACACCCTAATCGTGGCTGGAGTCTCCACACCCTTCTCCCCCAGTGTCCCTGGTCATCCTGCTGACAAGTGCATCCTGTTCCACCACCATCAAAAAGAACCCCAGGGTCTACTTGCTCCTAGAACTCTACAAACAGAGTCATCTCCATCACATCCCTAACTGTCATGGGGCTCCTTAGTATCCAGCCTGACTTTTGTTCTTTTTCATCCCAGGTCGCCAAGAACATGAGAGCCCGGTGCTCCCTCGCTCCTTGCTCCTCACCGCCCCTCCTCTCCCTCCTCAAGCAGAGAGGTGCACCCTCTGCCCCCCTGGAAGAAAAAGCTCCCTCTGCCTCTCTGGTCCCACTGGCAATGCCACCAACTGGATCCTACAGGATATTTGTGATCAAGACGCTGAAGAGCTGCCAAACACTGCTGCCACCCACTCTGTTCCCTCACTGCTGCTTGTCACTGCCTGACATTCCCGGCAAAGGTGGGGGCTGCTGCAGCCTCTCCTGGCCGTGGAGAAACTCCTGCCCCTCCCTAGAGACTGCCTCTCTGTCCCACTGGCTGATGGATCCTCTGTGGGTTCTCTGGGGCTCTAGCTCCTAGAGGATGTTGTGAGGAGTTTATATGTTTTTAAATAGTGTTCATAACAAAATACATATCACCCTTGTTCCCAAGATGCGGGGAAAATTATCTCATTATCTAGGCCCTGCTATGCTGTGTATCTGAGTCACGTTGTATATTCTGCTGCCCATGGCTTCATTAAAAGTGATTTGGAAGAGCAGAGACTGTGCTCCTGTTTCACTGGGTATCATGGGGTCATTTTCGGCTTACTGCTGATCACCAGCTGGGCAGAAAGAAACCAAGGCATTTGTCCATGGTAACATTCAGGGAGCCTAACTCAACAAGCTGCTTAAGTCAACCTCTTCCTGGAATAAACTCTAAACAATTCCACTTAGAAGGCTGTGCTGGAAGCCAGGCAAACCTGCTTAAAAACTTGGGCCTCTGTTCTTCCATTTTCATGCCACACCACTGGGCCACCCATAGCAGGAGGCCCATGCACATGGGTAGAAATGATCTGTAGCTGAAACTTGGCAGGCAGGGACCACACAGCAAGTGTCCCCAAAATGCCACCCACTGTCTCCTGCCCTCCAGAACATTTCCTTTTCCTTTCCTTTCAGACTGGATTCCCGTTGAAACTGTGCATCACCCCACAAGTTTATGGCTGGGGACCACCCACCACTCCACTGCTTGGGTCCCAACCTGGTGCCCAGCCCCTTGAGGTGCCCAGTCTAGGAGTGAGGGTGAGGGGAGGAGATTGTGATCCTAGCCAGACTTTATATTCCCATCATCCCTGATGTGAGGATGAGGAAAGGAGAGATGAGCTCTCTCCCCTTGAGCCCAGGGACTCGGCCAAGGAGAGTAGATGTCTCTAGCCCTCACCTAAAGGACAGGAGGTAGGATTCCCTGGGGCCCTTAGGATTCTCCTGAGCCTCCTGCTGTCTGAGCACTTTTCCTGGGGTCATGGACACTGATGGGGACACCCCTAGAGACCACTCAGCCATCTCCCTCATAATTATCGCTATCAAGACTGAAGCCGAGTGCTTACCATTTCCCCGGGGTGGGAGGGCATCCTATCCGCAAATACCTCTATGGTTCACCTGTGTGCCTCTGACCACACTAGCCAGAAACAGGCAAATCCTTCCAGCTACAAGTCAGGCCTGCTTCTTTTCACAGGGATGGAGCCACAAGCTCAATAGGTGACCTAGGAGTGTCCCTCCCCTCCATGAGCTCCACAGTCACCACCTATAAAATGTCAGGTAGGACTGGAGGCTGCGTCCAGCTCCATGCAACTCTGGTTCTGTGACCTCTGGAGAACTAATAACTACCATCCATCTCCTGGCCAACCCTACCAAGGGTAGTCACAGAATCCCCAGTTCTTCCTGAGCCACCTCATCTGCAGCCTAAATACTAGTCCCTTTAAAGAACACTACAGGCAAACGTCTCAGAGGAAATCCTATCATAGCGGGTCACTCTCCACATAGGAGGACAGGTACCACCTTCCCAAAGGTGGGATTTGCCACCTGTGCAGAACTCACAACTGCCTCCTCATTAGTCTGACACAATGCCAGAGATTCCACCACTGAGAATTTCTTTTAATTAAAGCATTCTCTTCCTCGTATTAAACGAAAATGCCCCTGGGTGCGTTAATAGAGTAAGCTTTTATCAACCATTAAAAACGTAGGGCAAGTTAGCTTGTCTTTTCTTCTTCTAAAGTGGTGATTCACTTTGGTCTGTATACAAAAGATCCAGGCTAGGGCCACGTGGGTGGCCGGGGAGGCAGGTCTGCTCCTGAGAGTTGGCTGCAAAGATGCTGAGGCTGAGAGGACAAGGGGGCTGAGGGCAGGGGACAGAAGCAGGGATTCTGGAAGGCAGTGAAAGGGCCAAAGACAGACCCCTCCAAGAACCTCGGAGGAGACCCAGACTGAAGGAGGCCAAGGGAGCGTGGGAGTCGTGCCAGCCCAGGGCCCTCAGATGGCAGGGCCCGTGGTCACTGGACCCTTAAGGCCACCCAAGGATCTATGAAGTGATGCTGCGGCAGCTGCTAGGGATCCACCCAGACCCACGGAGGGAGTAAGTCTTCCTCCTTCCAGGCCTGGCCCAAGCTGAGGGTGACAAGGTCACAGGCAGGTGGGAGGCCGTCTGGAAAGCAGGATCAGCACCACCCCCTGAGAAGTTTCCATCTCAAACCAGAGATTCCGCGATACCAGCAAGAACCTTCCCTCAAGTCTGAGACTGTTAAGCCTAAAGCCAATTAGGGTTGAGTCAGAGGGCAGGCCAGGAGCAAGTGGGAGTGCTGAGGGGTGGGGCAGAGACTCCACTCATCTTTGTCTACTCTGTTCTCACGTCTGGCCCCAGGTCCCACCTGGGGTGTCAGAGGGAATCAAAGTGACCTTGTGAGGAGGCCTGGGAAAGGGTTCCTGTGACCATTAGGAGGGTCAGTGCTTGGCCTTGGGCCACTGCAGCTAAGCCCCTCACTGAAGTAAGGGACCAGGCACTGTCCAGCCTGCAGGGAAGAGGCTGCTGAGGAAACCTAGAGACACAATCATCAAGTCTGTAGGAAGGCTCAGCCCTGAAGAGCCCCAGTCCCCATGAGCAGGGACCAGCCTCAAGGAGCGAAGGCCACCATCCCAGGGGGTATACATCACCAAGGTCAGTTGTAGAATAGATTTCTCTGTTCAGACGCCCTATTGCCCCAAAAGGCGTAAGCATAGGCCAGCCCTGGAGGCAGAAGAATGGACCAAATGATTACTCATGACCCCAGGCCTAAGATTCTAGAGGATTCTCTGACACTTCCCCTGGAGACCTGCCCTCTGAGTACAACTGGAATCACAGTCCAGTCAAGAGAAGGGCAGGCTAAGCAAGTATGTGCTTCAGGAACACCTGGGTGGGGTCTTCAACTCCAACAGAGCGACCCCTCCACCGTGACACACCACTGGAGAGGCAGCCACCTGAGTCTTAAAGGATTGTTTATCTTCTTGGTTTGCCCATAAAATCCAATCCCCCTGGGGTCACATATAAAGCCCTTCACAGATATCACTTTAGTTATCAGGTAACATCTGGGCAAGAAAGTCCACTCAGCCATGTGCTCGTCAGGATGGGAAGTGTATTTTGTGCATCGGTATGTCTGCAACACCTAGCACAGTGCCTGACACACAACAGATGCTCAATATACACTTAACCAGCAAATGAACAATCAAATGATTAGCGTAATTAGGCATTGGGGAGGGAGCCATGTATGGGGTGGGGAGGATGGGAAACGCAAGAGAAAGGAAAGTGGGGATTAATAGAGGAGGGGGCCAGTTTGCCAACAGCTAGGAGTAACCTGTCAAGAACTGTCAGGAAAAGCAAAACCTGAGTGATGGCCCCTTGGCCAGCACAGCCCCAGGCGGGCACTCATCCACAGAGCCTGGAGGACAGTTACTCTAGGAAAACACACCCGGCGCCCAGGACTCAGAGCTCCCATCACCGCAGGACCACACCGAGGTCCGGGGAGGAAGGTCACATTATCTCCCACCTCACTTTCTTCACGAATCCTATCTTAAAACCCCTTCTGCAATATGCCTCCTGGAGCAATGTGTGGGAAGGAGAACTTCTGACCAAGGGGTGGGCCTGGGGGAGCAAGCCGCACAGAGACCCAGGGCTGTCATTCTGTTAATAAGCACAGTGGTGGGTGGCGAGGCTGCAGGACCGCCAGGGCCCTGCCTCTGTGTCAGGCCACCTGGTTTTCAGGCCTCTTTTCACCCAGACACACGCTTGCATAGGTTTCCTCCAAAATCACGTGTAGAGCTACATTTTAAAATTAATAAACATGTCAGACATTGAGTCAGTAGCCAGAAGTAGGACAGGAAGTGGAAAAAGTCTCCCACTTCCCTCCAGGTGTTCAGGGGCTTGGGGCTGCCCCTCCTCATTTCCATGACGTCATGGTTGCCGAGAGGGGCAAATAGGGCACCCTTTGAAGCTCTCCCGCAGAAGCCACATCCTCTGCAAGAAAAGTTAAAAATACTGAGTTCGAGATAGCATCACCCCGGGCCACGTGCCCGGGCCAGGCCAGCTGGGCCGTTACACCGCAGACCACAGGTGCAGCAGGAAGGCCACCGAGCTGGGAGGGGCTGGCGGGCCCCAGCAGCAGGCCTGGGAGGTGCTGCACACCCCACTGCAGACAGGCCTCCCCCACCCGCATCTGCCCCCTTCTGAACCAAGCTCTATGATCAAACATTGATCTCAGCTAATTAAACCCTCCTTGATGCAGGACAGTCCCTCGAGGCTTATGTCCACAGCCCACTCTCCCCGGGAAGTGTGGGGGCACATCTGCCCCACACACAGCTGGGGCTGGTTCTCCAAGGAAGAACCCCCTCTCCAGGTCGAGGCTGAAGTGCTGGGTGATGGTCCTGATGGACCTCTGCCTCTCAGAGACCAAGGAGATCAGGATTCAGGAGACCAGGAGATGAGGAGCCGCAGAACAGAGACCAAAACCTGAGACTTGAAAAATGCGGGGCTTGGACTCCCTGCTCTGTGGTAGTGTCCCCAGACAGCCACCTGGGGGCAGCAGCGCTCCACCAAAGAGTCCTCTTCTCCCTCCATCTGTTTATTCTGGGGAAAGCAAGCTCTCAAAGCTTAGGAAAACCTCTTTTCAGAGAAAAATAAAAGGGCAAGTGACTTTCATTCAGATAGCAGAGCCCCTACCCTTTGCCAGTCACTGCACTGGGCGCCGAGCTGTGTGACCCTGTCACATCCCATGGAGGAGAGAGGGTCTGGGTCAGGCCCCGCAGGCAGCAGGGGGCACCACCTGCCCAGGATAGTCGCTGGCTCACACAGAGTGCTAGAAGGGAGCCGAGAGGGAGGGGCAGGGGAGCCCCGCTGGGGGCCAGGAGACACCTTCAGATTCAGAATCAGGGAGCCTGGGCTGGCATCCAGGATCTACCACTTCACCGGCCTCACGCCCTGGGCAGGTCACTAACCATTCAGCCTCAGTTTCCCAACGGGATCAGTGCTCTATTATAGGGTAGATTAAGAACCAGGGCTTTCTTTCACATCACACACCTGCCACGTGCCACGCTGTGCCAGGCTCCTGGGGATCCATCTCTGTGCAAACTGTATGACTCTACACAGACGAAGTTCAAGAGCAGGCAAAACGAATCACCAGTGATGGAAATGAGAAGGGTGGATGCCTCTGGGTGGAAGGATTGACAGGAAAGGGGGACGAGGAAAACTTCCAGGTGG